GTTAAGACCAAAGATGGAAAGCAGTGTTAAGGTGTGGAATATCTGAACTGTGATACTGGATCGCCATCTATCTGCCAAGCATTTTGATTAAGATAAAATCTTCTTTTGAGTTTTACAGACTGATAAAGAAAAGAAGATATGTATAAATACTGTAGTGAGCTAGACAAAGGATCTGTCAATCATCTATTCTTTGAGTGTCCTAATCTTTATTGCTCTGTCTATTATTCCTCTGTCCTCAGTGTTATACTCTGTAAATATTTTGTGTGATTTTATTCATACTAATAATATTATGTGTGATGGTACTTGAAAATGTGATGTCTTTTGTTGTAGATTATGAATCTACTTGTAAAATTGAGAACTCAAGAGAACAATTACTTACTTGTTACTCCCATGACTGACTTGACATTGGCAGAGTTCAATTAAGAGAAGACATAATTAAAAAAAAGAAGAAGTAAATACTGTATGTATAGAGTATTGAAAGCAGGGCTTGATTGCGATTAAGGTATGAGGTTACACTACCAGTATAGAATATAGAAATTGCTATTTTCTAAAGGTAATCCAAAAGCAGTTAAAATTAAACAATATGCCACCAGTATAGAATAGCTGTAACACTATTTTGAGGGGCATTGTTATACTTTTATATAACCTTTACATAACTGAAATTATATTGGTAACTAAAAATATTTATTTGTGTAACCAAAAGTATTTGTTTTGACAATAACAATTATGAAATTCTAAGAAACTAATTGAGAATAAGGTAATTTTGAACCACAAGAAGAAAACCTATAAGTCGAAACAAGGTAGCGAAAAATATAATACTACTGTTATTTTTTGGTACTGAAAAATTTGTACTTCATTATTTTAAAATAATCCAATAAAAGATATGATGTTATAACTTTAACCATTATAACTTATAATTTTTCGGTCTTGCAAGTCCTGATTCATAGTACTAAGTTAGATTTTTCTTTTAGGATGTTTAGGTACAATCTAATAATTAACATCTCAGTCATGTGATGTCTCATTAATATGATGTGATACTAATAATTATTTAAGTATTGTATTTGTTTATTGATAAGAATTTAATGAGCCTGATATGAAATTATTCCAAGTAATTTCATTTACTTGTGTTATCAAGTTCTTAAAGGATCAAGATATATGAGCCTTGCTTCAGAAGTGTGTAAAAAAAATAAAGAAACAATAATATAAAATGTGTTAATGGTAGTATTTGAATATTTGTATTTAGTTTACAATTACATATTATACAATACAATACAATATACCTACCTACCATGAAATTTTTAATAAAATATATCTAATAACATTTAAAAACTCCGTGATGAATTAGAGAAATACTTACTAATAATGGAGAACAAGGCTTGACTATCAAGTATATACAAGGGCAGCCTAAAATTATCTGTAAACAGAAGATAAAAAACTAGTCCAAATTCACCAACCCTAACTAGTAAATCTTTTTAACAAAAAAACGCGATCTTCGATACCTTCCGCACTCTTAAAAATAACAATCTTATACACAAACATACAATTGATAACATCTAAATTGGATTTATTCATTGCAAGAGTTGATCAACTAAAACCATCAATTATAGTCCTCTCTGAAACATGGCTAAAACCTAATATACCTGACTCACTGATAAAATTACTGGGTTACGACTTATACAGAGATGAACGTACTGATAAACAAAGTGGAGGAGTCACTATTTACGTATTGAACAATATTACCTATATGACATCAAAGCGAAATAGTATAATACGAAGTATGACTCTTGGGAATGTATGGGCAGACATTGAAGTAGGTTCTCAAAGAATACTGTTATGTGGACTATATAGAGGGCACAAATCAACTATCGATCGTGACAACTTGCTTTTACAAAATTTAGAACTGGCTTCCCAATCAAACACAGTAATAATAATGGGTGACTTTAACTTCGGTGGAGTCAAGTGGCCACTTTCAAAGTGTGTGTATCTACTGCCAAAAGAAACCAATTTCTTGCAATGGTATAACAACAGCAATCTATACCAATTGGTAGATCAATATACGAGGTTTCGCCAGGGTCACCAGCCTGACCTAATCTTGACAAATGATGAGTCTGATAGTTGGCATCAATTATGAGGCCGCATTTGGGAAAAGCGATCATGCATGCTTAGTATCGACTATACAGTTACAAACACAACAACAGAATAGGCAGCAATATAAACCTAAAAAGAATTTTAATAAAGGAGATTACAACAAAATCAAAGAAGAAATTCACTCCGGTTTAAAAAAAAAATGTTAAAAGATGTACTTGGTCCAGTTGAACAGTTTAGAATAATGCATAAAACAATAACTAATGCCATAGGCACACATGTTCCTCTTGTAAAAACAACAAAGTAAATAAACCATGGATAAAAAAATGACATCTGAGTTAATAAGAGAAAAAAAAAATTCTTTGAATGAGATATACTGTAACAGGGTCAGATAAAATCTATAAGGAATACAGGAAGCTTAATAACAAACTTACTAATTTAAGGCGCACGGCAAGGGCAATTTACGAGAATCAACTATTAGATCTAGGATCAAAGAAATTTTACTCGTACATCAGGCAGCAAATCACCTCTAAAGTTAGTACACCAAACATTTTATGGAACAGTAATGGGCAATCTGTGACATGTTCTAAAGGCATAGTGGAAGTATTTGCAGAACATTTCTCTAATGTATTTGAAAGAGAATCACTAGAACATCCTGCGCTAGACCCAAACCTGAGAGCAACTGAAGCTATAGAGGACATCATGTTCACAGAATCCAAAGTACAAGCTGCTATCAAAGAAATGAATATAGACTTTTCACCTGGCCCCGACGAAATACCCGTACATGTTTTAAAGAACTGCGGAATTGATAGTTACCTAGCATCAGTAATGCAAAAAACATTCGACAAAAGAGTTTTGCCTTATTTACGGAAAACGGCTTTTTTTTTTTTTTTTATAGAAGAGGGGGCAAACGAGCATGTGGCTCACCTGATGTTAAGTGACTACCGCCGCCCATGATCAACTGCAACACCAGGGGGAATTGCAGATGCGTTGCCGGCCCTTTAGAAAGGAGTAAGCTCTTTTCTTGAAGGTCCTCAGGTCGTATCGGTCCGGAAAAATCGCTGGTGGTAAATTATTCCACAGAGAGGTTGTACGCAGAAGAAAACTCCTTTTGAAACGTACAGTGGTGGACCGCCAAGCATCCAGATGGTGTGGATGGTATCGGGACGTTTGCCGCGTAGTGCGTTCACGAAATTTGGCGGCTGGGATTAATCCGAACAATTCCTCAGAGCACTCTCCATGGTATATGCGAAAGAAAATGCAAAGGGATGCAACATCTCTTCGCAGTGCCAGAGAATCGAGCCGATCGGAAAGCACTCGGTCGTCGACGATTCGAGCCGCTCTGCGCTGGATGTGGTCAAGTGGAAGGAGCTGGTACTGGGGAGCCCCAGCCCAGAGATGGGAACAGTATTCCATGTGCGGCCGAACCTGCGCCTTGTAAAGTTGCAGGCGGTGTGCCGGCATGAAATACTGTCCCGCTCTGCTGAGCACGCCAAGCTTTTTAGAGGCCAATTTGGCCTTCCCTTCCAAGTGACCACGAAACTGCACGTCACTCGAGCTTTAGTGAGACTCCTGTTTGTGAGTGACTCCTGTTTACAAAAATGGGTACAAATTAGATCCTGCAAATTATAGACCGATAAGCTTAACTAGTGTGGTGTGCAAAGTCATGGAAAAGATAATAGTTAAGCACATGAGGCAGTTCCTTAACAAACAACAAACTATTAGCAAACAGCAACATGGTTTCTGTCCTCATAGATCAACGATTTCCAGCTTGATGTCTTGATTATCATCCTGGGTCAACAGTCAAAATGATCGGGAACCAATAGATGTTATATATCTGGATTACGAAAAAGCTTTTGATAAAGTACCAATAGGCAGGCTTTTACATAAATTGGAATTTGTTGTTGTTCGAGGGAAACTGTTAGCTTGGATTGAGAGTTTTCTACGACAAAGAACCTTCAAAGTAAGGATTAGCGACACATTGTCAGATGAAAAATAAATACAAAGCGGTGTGCCACAAGGTTATTAGGTATTGTTTATACAAAAAAAAGATGAAAAGATTCAAAACCACTTGGACTTAGATGGCATTCAAGCAGATCAAATCAAAATATCAGATTGGTCAAAAAGGTGGGTTAATAAAATAAATATAAATAAATGCACAGTCCTCCATATAGGAAACCGAAACCCTCATTTCATATATAAAATCGATGATATACCTTTGGAAGAATTTAAAGTACAAAAAGACTTAGGTGTGCAGCATATAAGTAACGATTTAAAATGGAATCATCATATAACAGTTATAACTAAAAAAGCAAATAGTTTTATTTACCTGATTAGAAAAGCCTTCGGGCATCTTACACCAGAAATGATGCTTTAAATACATAATGCATACATTCAACGTATTTTGGAGTATGCATTCCAAATCTGGAACCCCTATTTCAAAATGGATATTGAGTTACTGGAGAAAGTTCAACGTAGATTTTCAAAGGTCCCTAGAGTATTGAAAAACATACCATATGAAGAAACTTTGAATAAGCTTAAACTAACGACACTGAAGGATCGCAGAGAATGGGTAGACTTGATCAAAGCATATAAAATTATACATGGACACTACGATCTAGAAAATTTTGACAAAGATTTATTCCAGTACTCAACAAACACACATCTTAGGGGACATCACTTCAAATTAACCAAAACCATGTCACATAACAACCCACACAAGCACTTTTTTAGCCAAAGATTGGTTGAAGCATGGAATAAACTGCCATCAGAAGTAATATCTGCACAAACTATTAACCAATTCAAGAACAGATTAGATAAACATCTAAAATAATAATAATTACATATTTGAAAATAGGATACGGGCTTACATCAGTTGTTTCAACTGCTGGCCTGTTAAGTAATAATAATAAAGCATGCGGGCCGCCAGCCCTGTGCGAGTAGCTGCACGGTCACCTAGCAGCCCTCCGCATCCATCATTCCCACAAGAAGGCTTGGTGTCGGGTGGGTTTTCTCGGACTCAGGATGCGGCATCCGCCGCTGGTGGAGCACGTCGCATGCGTTGGTCACAATTAATGAACGCAAACGCACTGCGGGCGTACTTTAGGGCAAAAGGGGAAGAAACTGGATGTTTGGCGTATCGGGCTCGGATGCATCGCTTTTTTGCAGAGCTGGAGCCATCTCTATCCGTCACTGAGCAAAACCTGGCAGACCGAGTTCGGTACATCCTGCGCTCCAACATATTTAATGAGGCCGAACTCGAACGACTACGACGTGAGGCTGTTCCCCCATCAAATTGAAATGCTACGGCTGGGAATGCGGCGCCACTAGATGCGCAGTAAACTGCATATGTGGATGTTGCCGTCAATATTCCATTTGTGGTTAATTCAGACGATGGTGGAATAGTCTCCCACGAACTAGAGAAAATGAGGAGCATATTGGAAGAGTCGATGCTGGAAACGCGCAGCATGCCTCTCGAAAATCGACCGCGACTTCCCCGTATACCCCTTAGCAGGCGAAATCGGGATGTCGTGCGGGCTCTTAACCCACTGCTGGTGACCTATTTGGAAGCCAGCCGGGACCTTTGCGAGACGGACTCAATTCTTTTTGGCGCCGCACTGGCAGTATGCCGTATTATTGGCGCCAAACTTCCCATGGCTGGACGTGCTACTCTACAAAGTAGCGCCATCCCAGCCTGGAGAAAAAGAATCGAGGACCGTATCGCAAAGGCAAAGGCCCTTATCGGCAGACTGACATGCTTCAGGTCGGGTAATAATAGACCGAAAGTTGTGCGCACCGTTAGAATGGCGTTTGCTGGGACAAATATTAGTTTGTCCCAGCCGGATATCACGCAGAAGCTAACGGAGCGCATAGATGACCTGAAGCAAAAAATCGCTGCTTGGGGGAAGCGGATTCGAGCGAGAGGTAAAGGCGGTTCAACCAGAATCGTCTCTTCCAGAGTGATCAGAAGAGGCTCTATAAATCATTGGAGCGACTAGAGGTATGTGGAGTGGGCCCACGACCAGATCAGGCTGACACTGTCGCATTTTGGCGTGGCCTGTGGTCAGAGCCCGTAAACCACAACGAGGGCCCTTGAATGGAAGTTGTGGCGAGCCAGAGTGCGAGTGTTACGCCTATGGACCCCGTCCCCATAACGCCAGAAGACGTGGCTGAGGCGGTCCATAGGGCGGCAAACTGGAAAAGTGTGGGGCTCGATAGGCTGCATCATTACTGGCTGATGGGGTTCGTAGTGTGTCACGCTGTGCTCGCCCGACAGTTCCAAGAGGTTCTCAACCAGAAGTCGCTCCCGAGCCTCTTCACTACTGGGATCACTCATTTGGTTCCTAAAGATCAGGATACCACAGATCCGAGCAAATACCGTCCCATCACGTGTCTACCCACCATATATAAGACACTAACATCCATTTTGAGCGCGAGAATCACTCGTCACCTGGAGCTAAATCAGGTGATGTCACGCGCTCAAAATGGATGTCGGGGCGGTGGTCGTGGAACCAAGGAACCACTCCTCATTGACGCGGTCATTGGCAAAGTGGTGAAACGCTACCGTCGGAACTTCTCCGCCGCCTGGATAGAATACAGAAAGGCATTCGACTCGGTGCCCCATACATGGCTAAAGAGGGTACTCGAGCTGTACAAGATAGACTGTACAGTTAGAGACTTCCTCGAGCAATGTATGGGGCAGTGGAGTACGATCCTCTGTTATCTGGGCGAGCGGATGATTGCTGCGGAGAACCACATAAGGATAAGAAGGGGTATCTTCCAGGGTGTTTGTCTGAGTCCAATCTGGTTCTGCCTCTCTCTGAACCCTGTACTCAGTACCTTACTGGAGGGCTCCGGGAGAGGATTTCAGCTACGGAAGGGAGGGACAAAAGTGACCCACTTTTTTATATGGATGACCTCAAGTTATTCGCCTCCAGTCGCTCCCATCTTATGGAATTGCTAAACATCACTTGTGAATTTAGCAATTCTATTGGAATGGAGCTAGGGACGGATAAGTGTGCGGTCCTCCATGTTGAAAGGGGAAGGGTTGCTAACTCTGAGGGCATAGACTTATCTATGCCCGTCAACTTAAGGACCCTTTCCGAGGCGGAAGCATACCGATACCTGGGTATGTCACAGAACATCGGTATAGATGAGGCTGGTATGAAACAGTCAGTTTGCGATGTGTTTTATGCACGCTTGACCAAAGTGCTTAACAGCCTTTTGTCCGGTGTGAATAAGACACGCATATAACGGTTGGGTCATGCCTGTCCTCATGTATACCTTTGGCATACTCAGGTAGACTCAGACCGAACTTAACGCCCTGGATAGAAAAGTCCGTACTACCATGGGGGGACTTGCCGCGAAAGCATGGTGGGCGTGGCTTTCTGAGCGCGCTCACCATGCATAATCGAGAACTGTGCAGCCTCCGTCATTACTTCCTGGCGAGATCGGATGATCCATTCTATAATGACGTCATTTCTAGTGATAAAGTGCTTACCCCTCTATCCTTAGCCAACGAGCAATGGCAGGACCCAGCAGTGCTTATCATTTCCGACCGGGAGACCGTATGGAAGGAGAAGGAGCTCCACAGGAGGTTCTACAGGGCTCTTCATGAGCTTGCTCTTCGTAGATACAGTCGCCTCCTTCAACTAGCTACGTTTCGGTGACCTTTTTGGGGAAACCGAGGGTTTTGTCTGTGCAATACAGGATCAGGTTATTAAGACCAACAAATAACGGAGATACATCCTAAAGTATGGCACTGTCGACGTCTGTCGAGCTTGTCGCCATCCCGGTGAGTCGCTTAGGCATGTCATCTCCGGTTGTTCGGCGCTTTCTAACTCTGAGTACTTGCACAGGCACAACCTAGTAGCCAGAATTCTACACCAGGAGCTCGCTCTGAAATACGATCTCGTGGACCGGAAATTGCCGTATTACAAATAACTGCCGGAAGCCGTGCTCGAAAATGACCGCGCCAGGCTCTACTGGGACCGGGCCATCATCACAGACAGGACTATTCTTGCGAATAAGCCTGATATTGTGCTGATGGATCGGGTACAGTCAAGGATATTTTTGGTCGATATTACCATTCCGTATGACGAAAACCTCGTGAAAGCCGAAACAGATAAGCAATCAAAATATCTGGACCTGGCTCACGAGGTGACCGACATATGGGGTGGTCTACCGACCGAAATTATTCTTGTAGTCGTCTCTGCGAATGGGCTAATCCCAGTTAGCCTCTCTGGTCATCTGAGGCGACTGGGACTCCGTGACGGACCGCTCCGGGCTCAAATGCAGAAGGCGGTACTCCTCGATACCACCCCCATCATCCGCCGGTTTCTTTCCCTTCCCCCTAACCCTCGGCCGTTTGGTCTCCCCTGCCGAGGGTCTGGTTGGGCTTTTATTTATTTATGTGTTTTTCTATTTATTTTATTTTATTGATATTTATGTATATTTATCTTTTCATTTTCATTTATAATTATATATTTATAGAACCCAACCAGATGAGAAAACTATATAGATACTTCAAAATAATAATAAAACAGTTAATATTAACTTAATTTGATATATATATATATATATCTATATATATATATATATATATATATATATATATATATATATATATATATATATATATATATATATATATATATATATATATATATATATATATATATATATAATCATATATATATATATATATATATATATATATTGATATATACTATAAATATAAAATATTAAGAATAGTAACAATGCTGGAATAACACAAACATTATTAAATGCCTTTGTAAAAAATTACCATTTAACTATCATTTCATCTCATTGGTGTTGCAAGAAGTGTGTGAAGTCCCAGAAAAATCTTATGGTTTCCAATAGATGGTGGTGGTAACCTATCTCATACACTATTACTGCTATTGATAATTGGTCTGTGAAGTTTGAAAATTATTTCAATGGGAGAGGTTTTCATTAGCTGATGAAGAAGACTGTGATATGTTACCAATGAGGGCATCCACAACTTTATCTGCCACCAGGGAGGCGCCACTTAATAATGAGGTGTAATATTTGTTAGATTTCATACGGGGGAAGTTAAGTCAGATTTCATACCAGGGAACTTAAGTACTAAGGCATTATTTTGTGTATTAATATACTCTAGAAACTGAATAACTTCTATGTAAAACTAACGTTTCAATTAAATGATATTGTGTAACAAAAAACTTAACCTCAGTGTCAGCTAGCGACATCTGGTGAGTGTAAGATTATTGGCCCATATTGCATTCAAAATAGAGCTTATCAACACAACAAGAAATATTCTTAGATAAATAGTTTCAAACACTAGTCACTCACACAATTAGTACCTGCCAAATAACTTGAAAAAAAAAAACTTGTTTACAGTAGTTACAATATAATACCTATGATAATAAACTGATATGCATATCGTTATAAACTAATAAACTAAATTAATAAACTAGAACTACAGAAAATAAAAGAAATTGATGACAAAGTCTTACATATAAGTAAAAGGTTACTTTATATAGTACTTATAGTAAGCAAATACCTGCTGCTCAATCTCGCATTAAATATCCTACACACAATAATATACTTACATGATACCAATTTTCATTTAATATGGAAAGTTTATACTTGACTGCAGACTTTAAGGCAAACGTAAAAGAATACTTTTTTCAATTAAACTTTTAGGTAGGATAAAATAGCTGCATTATATGTATATTCATAGCATAATATAAATATCTATATAGTTTTACTGTGGGAGATGTGATAAGGATATAGAACAACGAGAGAACATTGGAAATAAAGTAAATAGGGCTCTACACTCCATTGCGAAAAGTCGGAATGTGTAAAAAAAGACGTGTATGGCAATTCACAATGCTGTGTTGTTATGCTGTATTTACTTTAACATATGGTAGTGAGAGTTGGGTGTGGCAGAAGAAGCACAAGATTAGAATAAATGCGGTCTCTAAGGAGTATGTTAGGGCTGAATCTGAGTGATTGATGAAGATGAGTGAATCTTGAGTTTGCAAGATGATGCTGTGACCATGATTAAGAAAGGAATATAGTTTGGACATGTAGAAAGAATGAATGAGGAAAGAGTGACAAAGCAAACTTATGTTGCAGAAGTGAATGGAAGAGTCGGAAAGGGACCTTCTAGGCGAACGTTTATCGACCAAGTTGGCAATATATTGAAAATGGGCTGATGGGTACTCTTAACTGACAAGCATGTATGCGTAGGTATATGAATGTGGAGGAGCGAGAGAGGTGTGTCAGGATCGTGCCAAATGGAAGTCAGTAGTCTCTGCCTATCCCATTGGGTGACAGGCGTGAGTGTTTATGCTATGTTATAATATGTTTTATTGTAAATTTTCATTATATTATTTGTTTTAAACACTTATAACTGCATAACTAAAGCTCACATCCTTTTGCATTTCTATTATTTAATTTAATTATTTTGAATTTTCTCGAGCATAGAAATAAAGCGTACATCCTACACACTATCCTCATGGACAAGTCCAACCTCAGTGAGCATTGCCGAACAACAACGCTACCGCTACTGTGCAATAGAATTATGTTGAGGCAGTGCCCTTTTCAGTATCACATCACTCATGCAATCATATCATTTTATGTCTGTTTTCTCTTATTTATTTTTCTTTGATGTTTTTATGTATCATTTTATTTTTTGTATCAAAACTGCCATTGTGTAAGTTATTGAAGAAATGCATGTCTATATCTATGTCTTTTTACATGGTAGAGCCATGCTGCAGCTATATTGTGGTTGCAGCACGAACGAGTCGGCTCGACCGAGGTAGGACTATGTTTTCACAGAATACCAGCGTAAAATAGCTTAATGCTGCTGTGTTTTGTATGGTGAGTGTAGAGAACCGGAGACCCTTTTTACTAGAAACGAGGCATTCCATCTCAGTCCTCAGGACTGACAACGCATCTGCATTTTGATTTTTCTAATTGAAGATAAATGCTCTATGAGCCACAGCATCCACTTACCATCAGGTGGACTGTCTGCTCGTTTGTCACCCTTATTCTATAAAAAAAACTATGACTGAAATAACTGATAATAAAAAAAAAAAAAAAAGATAATGAGAGGTGGTGTATTACTAGGTAGGAGGGCTTCCGATCTACCACCTAATAGTGCTCTTATCTACTTCAGCCGTATAATAGTGCTTGCTCTGCTGTGTTCCGGTCTAAAGCATATAATATCATCTGCGTTGTGATTAAGTTTTTCTTTTTATTTTCAGAGAAAATGAGTAATGCAATATGCCAGGGGTTGCGCTCGCCTATCCGAAGTCTCGCCAGCCTGAGAAGGATAAAGACAATTTCAACATCAATAGTCCATAATGAGACAATATTAGTTAAAAATAATGAGGAATTTATTAATAAGGTGAGTACAGTATCACAATTCGTTTTAGGTTTTAAAATATTGTTCTTCATCCCATTTTGACACTTAGATGTTGAGGTAGTCAACTAAGGAAAATATGCCTTTTGATTGTACAATATCCAATCTATTAAATACTATGAAAATTAAACTTTTATTAAAAAGTAAATGCCGATGTTAAAGAACTAAAAAGAATAAAAGAATTTCCATTTAATTACTTCTGCAGTAGTGCTACAATATTATGATGATTCTTAAAAAAGCCTACCCCAAAAAAAAACATTTTTTTAATGGATAATTGTAGCAAACGGGCACACAGTCCACCTGATGGTAAGTGGTTACTGTAGCCCAAGACATCTAAATCTGTCCTCAATTAAGAATTAAAATGCAGATGTGTTTTCCCTTTGAGAACTTATTATACACTTTAAACTTGTTCTCTACACTCACCATACGAAACACAGCAGTGTTGAGCTGTTATTTTGCGGTGGTATTCTGTGAAAGCGTGGTCCTTTTCCAGTCGAGCCGACCCATTCTTGCTACAAATATACTACTCATATAGCATCATGGCTCTACCATATAAAAAATACAATTATTTTATTACAATTATAGTAAAAAAAGGAGATCTAATCTAATACTATATATATATATATAATAAAAAAAAAAAAAAAAATTGTTCAATGTCAAGATATAATATTTTTTACATGAGAAAACGGCTACGTTTACCCGCATCACGGTGGCAAGGACGGGGTATGTCGGACTCGCGCCGACTTAAATCCCATGGTTCCAGTACCGCCGCATATTGGCAGGGCCACGGGAACGCACATGCACACATCTGCAGTCCCACTAGCGCCAGCAGCGCCATGGCATCCTTTCCTTAGGAGAGGATAACTCTACAACCTGTGGAGCTTAAGTTACGATATTTACGGGACTTTGAGATTAGTCCCTTTGTAAAGAAATAGTTCACCAGTCAACAACACAACGACATCATCAATTTAAAATCTGTAATTAATTGTCTTTCTTTAAAACAGGTGATGAATAACGACAAGCCAGTAATAGTGAATTTTCATGCGGAGTGGTGTGAACCTTGTAAAATACTCACGCCTAAGTTAAAGGAGTTGATTGAACCTCTAGATAACCTGGACTTGGCTGTCGTCGACGTCGAGGATAATGCTGATTTGGTGCACACATTTGAGGTGATACATATTCATTTATCAATTTCATTGGCAGTGTAAGAATATCCGCTACTCCATATCGCCCCCTGCGTGTTGTAAGAGACGTCAGAGGGAAACTGAAGCAGGAGATGGGCAGCACCACCTTCCTCATAACATCGCAAAGTAATAAAAATCTGCGTTTGCCAACCCGCGTGCCCAAGCGTGGCAGAAGCATTAGCTTTCCCGACCTCAGCGTCGGATCTAGTCCATGGCTCCGATGTCACTCAAGATTGGACTGTGGGGGGTAGAAGGAGAGCGGCGCCTCGCAATATCGACACTCCTCTCCCCGCAGCCCTACCACCAGTGCATCAACGGTGCGTCCCGTCAGAGTTGCAGAGGATAGTGTGAGTGGCGCATCGCCATACCAACACTCCTCTTCCCCTCGAGTCCATTTTCCCCAATTGCAGCGGTATGGGAGAGGGTACCCCTCTCGCCGCAGCCCAGCAACCTCGGGCCGGCCGTAGTCCCCGGGCCAGCCATGTGTGTTCCTCCCTGTTCGCCGCAGGTGACCAAGCCACGGCTACTAAGCCACTGCCATGACAAGTCGGGAACCCGTTCGGGGGGTACAAGGAACCCTGCTGAGATGCTGCTCTCATAATTGCCAAATCTTTGTCAATTACATAATTCATTAGAAATGTCTCCTCTGTTAGCGAGCTATACTGTACAATGATGCTTAGGAGGCAACGCACCTGTCTGTTGAAACGAGAGTCTTTCATTCGGATGTTAGCCGAATCAAATATTATTGCAATACATAAATTATTTTTTAGTTTAATTGTGATTGTTTCTGGATAGCTTATATTATCAGACCCTTTCTTTTTAATAATGAATGAAACTACATCATATAATACTCACACAAAATAGTAACACTTTATATCGTCACGTGGGTGCCGTAAAAGGCGACTATAGTAAATCCCAGAAAATATCATGGTATCCGACATCCGGGAGTAGCTTCAATGTTGCGAGACATGCGAGGTTAACCAAGTGGACTTTCTACTATCGTTTACTATAGAAAACTTTAAAAATTAATGTAATAAACATTAATGCTAGGCGAATATATAGAATTTTTATTTGCGATCGCTAATCAAACTGCCAAGCACGTCGAAAAAGCCAAATCCTCTGCTTGAGGAAAATTATTAAACAATGGTAGGCGTTATTTTTAGCTGAATTCCAAAAAAGCCACAGGTTCTCAATTCAACTGTATGTTTTTTTAAATTATTTTAATAGAATAACCCAAGTAACACACGAAATATAAAGTTTTATATAAGTTCACCGAGCATCTCGATGTTTCAAAACCATTATGATGCTTTACACTGTGTAACGGTTGGATAATGGCATATTAAAATGCTTTTGTAAAGCCTTTAGTTTTAGTGTGGCCCCACAGAAAGTGGACCTGGTCGAGCCCCGACAATTTGATAAAAAGTGAGATTGACTTCACTATGACGACCAGACGACAACTGTTCGGTAATGTCTCAGTGATCGCAAGTATGAAAACTGGCGGCGATCACCGAATGGTGAGAGGCACACTAAACCTAAACGTGAAGTTGGAGAGGTCACGTCTAATGAAGTCAACCTCGTGCTCTAATCCAAAGCCCCAAAAACTTTCAGCTCGAGTTACAAAATCGTTTCCAGTGCCTAGAAAACTGCAATAAAGTAGACGATATAAATGACAAGCTTGTGGAAACTGTCCATGCGGTCGGAGCTAAGTTCTGTAAGACCCGTCGCAGAAGAACACAAAAACTCTCCGATCACACTCTATATCTTATGGCTATTATACGGTAAATGAAGCTGCAGTCGTCAGCAGATTTGATAGCATACGGGCAACTGAACAGACAGATTTCCAAATGCATGTGGACTTACGCAACTTTAATATAGCTCGTACTGAATAAGCGGTTGAGCGGAACCAGGCGATAACGCCGCAATGGAATGGGACAGCGTAACTAAATGCAGTGTCGCCTTTAGTACGTAGTACATAATAGCTCAATGGTTGCGAAAGTACTTTTGAAGATATTTTGTCCAACGTACGGTGTCCAATATATGACCAAAAGCTTATAAAGGGATATGTAGAATAAAATAATTTTTTTTATTTGGTAACAATATTATTATAAATAAGCCCTACAATTATGCTACTTCTGATACTGTGCATACGTTTCATTCTTTCGAAGTTGAGTTTTCTGAAGGTTTTACTTTTACCGCATGTGCAAAAAACATGGGTGCTGTTACCCATGTTTTTTATTTAATTGGAAATACTTCAAGAATGGTCCCATAAGGAAAAAATCCAACTCTATGGATGCAAAAATAGGGAAGGTAGTTTTTAATATAACTACATTAACGACACTAAGCTTGTGGTATTCTGTAGTCCATTCAAAAAGGTCAAAAAATAAAAGTACTTCCGAAGCTATTACGAGCTAAAATTCTTGAGCTGTTACGTGGATATTATTTTATTCTATTTAGTTCTCTGAAGTCAGCTTTTCCTTTTTATAAAAATATTATTTTGTAATCAAGTTTTTAACATCACAATGTGCTTGCAGGTGAAAGCGGTGCCTGCAGTTATAGCTATAAAGAACGGGCTAATTGTAGACAAATTTATCGGCCTTGTAGACGCCGACATGATCACAAACCTTATAGAAAGGATGTCCGGTAAGAAGAAAACATCGTAAGATTTATAGCCAAATTTTCAAAACTTGCTGCTGAATGTCTAATGACTGTGGCAATGAAAGAATGTAATTGATCAACGGATTATAAAACTATTTTAATATTTTATAAGGGTTATTTGTTATCTGTTTAATATAATAAGTTTGCTGTTCTTTTGTGTTTTTCTCAAAAACGTTCTGTATCGTAAAGAGAAATAACATTTAGTTAGAAAATTGAGCAATAATAAATTTAATGCAGAAAGACTGATGGCTGAATATTTAGTTTTTTAATCATAAAAATTACAACGCATGGGTATTCTATTGTTTATAGTTCTATAAGTTTCATTATAGTTTTAAAACAGTGTGTTAAAGCTGATATTGTTGGTACATATATTAAAATTATTTTTAAAATTGAAATTATTTTTAAACGAAAATAGAAATTATCTAGGAATACCAGAGAAATGATGTCACAGTTTCTTGTAGAGAAATCAAAATGCTATTTGAATAATTTTTAATAATGATAATCTAATTTACGTTAAACAAAAAAATCAACCCAATTAAACACTGTCAACAGTAGGTAGCTAATGGATAATATGCGATTTTGTGTTTTGTGATAGTATCAACCACCCTATAACCCTTTAGCTGTCTAAGAACCGACTTGAAAACGTGTTGTTGCGTGAATTGTCTTAAATGCTTTGATTTAGAGTTGCGGGATCGTGGCGATATGAAACCGACTGGAAAGAGATCAGGCGCAGGACCAACTGCTTTACGTGCTTTCCGAGGCACGGGGGTGAGACACCGCCAAACTCCTTAATCCGGGCACCTACTGAGAATTTCTTGACGGAATAACTCAATAAATTGATTCCTTATCCCGACCCGGGATTCGAACCCAGAATCTCAAGATCAGCACTAGTACAACCCCTAGACAAACAAGGCAGTCCAAGAGTATATTATATATTTACCAAATACATACACGATCACTTATACTAAATAACTATTTACCTTAATCCTCACAGATTAAGAATATACAGAATAAACTGTACAGACTAATTTACGTCGGTGTTCAGTTATACTACATCTAATGGCTGAGAAATAAAAAATATTTTAAGGTCATGTAAGCATTGAAACAGCATGTGGGCCTAACTTCTCCATAACAATCTCAGAATTAAGAAAATGGCTGTGTCATTATGCTCACTACCCAAGCCATCCCTTCTTAGAGCAAGTATATAAAATATAATACACAACTACAAAGTACAAGGTACATTTTTGGTAACACTAAGCACGTCTAAGCCAGCAGTAGAAGTATAAATGTTAACAACAATGCAAGCTATACTACAGCAAGTTTTCAAGTTAGTTCTTACGAAAGCCCTACTGATATATTTTATGATTAATATTTTTAATACAGTTTAAATTTTAATTTACAACAGGTTATAATTTTTTAGTTCTATTGCTATATTAATTTCTAATGAAGGGAGTTTTGGCTAGAACCCGAAGGCCGTCGGATCTGATAACGTAGTATCGTTTAAATAATGGTTTGTAGTTGATTTTAATACATAAAAGTGGTGCGATTTTGTGTACTAAATGTCTGCAAATGTAAACTATTAATAGAACAAGTGCTGCGATTAAACCTTGCGATAGCGTTATCAATTTTCCGCTGTCTTAAATTACCGCCAAAATCTCCCAAGAACTTCGAAATTAAAAAAATACAATAAAATAAATTTAAAAACATATTGATAATTTATAAAACTATTTTATTATTTTAAAGTATTATTTTATTCTAAAGGGCTTGTAGCCAGTGCCACAATTAATGAAAAAAAAAGAATGAAAGTTCGTTTGCATTTGGACATCGTTTTTCTTTTGCTATATAGTTTGTGTTTCTCGGTAACACACTGCCCTTTCTGTAGGCTTTGTAAATATTGGCGCCTTTCCCGAGGCCGAAGAAGCACGTGCAGAGGTGCGGGTTTGCAAGTGCACGCCTAGGGTTGCCAACCGTGTTATTTCATAAAGTATCGTACTATATTACTATAAGCCATTTCGAAAATATAAAGTATGCAAATGCTATAATTTGAGCCTAAAATATATATATAATAAATTAACTAAGTATATTTTCTTGCACATGCGGTTAGATATCCAAAAATAAACAAATACTTGCAATATTTTTTCTTACTTTCGTAGAATGGGGTATTACACTGATGAAACACTATAATTTTTATGTAATTTTTTTGTGCCATAAAATTACTTTGATCTATCGTATTAAATTTTCGCGCGAAAACACTAGGCTCATGCGGTTCAGCTCGTGACTTCACTGCGCTAGTATATAAAACAATTTTGAAAAGGAATAAAATATTTTTGGATGTTCAATAATGAGTTATCATTGGTGTGGTGTGTCTGAATGTAAAAATACGAGCATAAGAACGCCGGGGAAGCTATGGATTAAAGTGTCAACTGATTTAAATATGAGAAATATTTAGTTAAAACTGGCAAGGAAAGACCCGAAGATGTCTATCAAATCTAGACTATATTTCTGTTAAGATTACGTTGATTAACTTACATTTAACTATTGCTTATACAAAAAAACAGCCTTTGCTACAACAGTTTTTTATGGGTATCTTGGCAACTCTCCAGGCCCAAGCGGCCATAAATTTGGCAGGTACTCCTGTAGTGTGTCGGTTCTAGAAGCCACCTGCGTCTTGAAGGGCATAACTCTTCAACTATTTATGAAACAATTATGTACAAAGTGGGAGAAATAAATGTTTATTATTATTATTTTGGGGGTTATTGATGGAGTATTCATATCTGGTTGGGCTGGATACATATATAAAAGGAAATGATAAATATACATAAATATATATTTCATATACTAACATAAATAAATAAATAATACATAAATAAATAAAAGCCCAACCAGATGGAGCTCTCGGCAGGGGAGACCAAACGGCCGAGGGTTAGGGGGAAGGGAAAGAAACCGGCGGACGATGCGGGCGGTATCGAGGAGCACCGCCTTCTGCATTTGAGCCCGGAGCGGTCCGCCACGTAGTCCCAGCCGCCTCAGATGACTCGAGAGGCTGGCTGGGATTGACCCGTTTGCAGACACGACTACAGGAATAACTTCGGTCGGCAGACCACCCCACATGTCGGTCACCTCGTGAGCCAGGTCCAGATATTTTGATTGCTTATCTGTTTCGGCTTTCACGAGGTTTTCGTCATACGGAATGGTAATATCGACCAAAAATATCCTTGACTGTGCCCGGTCCATCAGCACAATATCAGGCTTATTCGCAAGAATAGTCCTGTCTGTGATGATAACCCCAGTCCCAGTAGAGCCTAGCGCGGTCATTTTCGAGCACGGCTTCCGGCAAATACTAGTAATACCTACGACAATTTCCGGTCCACGAGATCGTATTTCAGAGCGAGCTCCTGGCGTAGAATGCTGACTACTAGATTATGCCTGTGCAAGTACTCAGAGTTAGAAAGCGCCGAACAACCGGAGATGACATGCCTAAGCGACTCACCGGGATGGCGACAAGCTCGACAGACGTCGACGGTGCCATCCTTTAGAAAGTTGTTGGTCTTAATAACCTGATCCTGTATTGCACAGACAAAACCCTCAGTTTCCCCGAAGAGGTCACCGAAACGTAGCCAGTTGAGGGAGGCGACTGTATTTTATTTTATTTATTTATTTCTGAAACTTACAACTATCATTACAGGATTACCTAATGCGATAGTGTAGCTGTAGTGTAGTGTAACTGATTTGTGTAGATTATTTAATTTTTTGTAACAAATTACAAACAATGCTGTCTTTGTGAATTCACTCAGAGTACAACAAAATAGGTCCGTCTCACAAGCTATAAAGTTGAGCGTGCGGAGTGCGCGCGTTGGAGGTGCCTCACTCAGAATGTTGGTCCGACCTCGCGGCATCACCAACAGTCGCGGCTGCCGTCAGCGCCACACATACCTCTCAGGAACACATAGATTAAGCTGCCCTAATATTTCAGCATTAAACAATTTTTCTCGCAGTATTTTAAAAATATACGAGGTGAGCGCAAGTTCCCTCCTAACCCTCAGTTTATTATATCCTACCATGTATCCAAGAAGGGCTTTTGCAGAGCCTTGTAGAACCTCCCGGGGAGCTCCTTCTCCTTCCATACGGTCTCTCAGTCGGAAATGCTTTGCACTGCCGGGTCCTGCCATTGCTCGTTGGCTAAGGATAGAGGGGTAAGCCCTTTTATCACTAGAAATGACGTCATTATAGAATGGATCATCCGATCTCGCCAGGAAGTAATGATGGAGGCTGCACACTTCGCGATTATGCACGGAGAGCGCGTTCAGAAAGCCACGCCCACCATGCTTTCGCGGCAAGTACAACCTCATTACCGACGATCTCGGATGATGCATCCTATGGGACTGTCAGTCTGAGTCCACCTGAGTATGCCAAAGGTATACATGAGGACAGGCATGACCCAATCGTTATATGCGTGTGTCTTATTCACACCGGACAAAAGGCTGTTAAGCACTTTGGTCAAGCGTACATAAAACACGTCGCAAACTGACTGTTTCATACCAGCCTCATCAACCGATATTCTGTGACATATCAAGGTATGTCACATATATGTTTCAGCCTCGGAAAGGGTCCTTAAGTAGACGGGCATAGATAAGTCTATGACCTCAGAGTTAGCAACCCTTCCCCTTTCAAAATGGAGGACCCCACACTTATCCGTCCCCAGCTCCATTCCAATGGGATTGCTAAATTCACAATTATTATTATTATAATGCATCAAACCAACATGGGCTAGGAGGGTGTTCCTGTTCGCCGCTCAGTTTTGGGACACGTATCAAGATACCTCTGATAACAGAAGCAGGCCCATGGGTTGAAGATGCTGTTCTTTTCCTCATACTCCCGGCTGATAGCGCGGTAGCACATAACTTTCGCAGTAATAGCCGCCCGCATCGGTAAGTTGGTCCGAGAGTTCGCCTGACCCTGCGCGGATATGAATTGGTCGTGACACGAAGTCACGCGTCTTTGCTACTCTGCAGGAAGACGGCTGGTGCGGAAGCCGTTTCATAAAATGAATGGTTCTGAGCCGTGGCCTGGCCGAAGTGTCCTTGAATATTGGGCTCCTCAGACGTCAACATGAACAGAACATTATCAATGAATTTGAAGTCAAATACGCATTATTAAGGATCACTAAAAACTACTAGTCACATCTTGATGAAATTAATATGGGACTACGTGAGAAGCATCAGCTTTCAAATAAAAAAGGGATCTTCAAAATCGGTTCACCTAGAAAAAGTTCTGTAATACATATAAAAATACAGTCGAATTGGTTAAAAATAAAACATCTGCCAATCACATTATAAAACGCGTTGGCGGAAAAACCTCATCTCTAAATGTTTGTACCGAGGCGCACCTTCTTCCCATACAAAGTGGCGACGTCTAAAGACGTCCAGTCCTAATACGTATGTCTTAGAACTATGTTATGTGACTCAAACGCAACATATCTTTACGTCCGCCACCGCATAGACACCTACATCTATCCTCAATTACGAATCAAAATTTGTCACCCGAGAGGATTAAGATGGAATGCTTCTACTACAAATATAGCTGCAACATACCGTCTGATATACCATACTAAACAACACAACGTTCATAGGCGTCATCTTAAGTGTAGGAAATTGAAATGATACAACTGGTTAGGAATATAAGTTTAATCAAAAACAGAGGTAGGTAGCGCTTCTTTACTAACAAAGTTAAAATTCTATAAATTAATTAAATATTCCTTCCGGTGGCTGAAGCTTTTATTATTTAAAACTGCA